ATAATTAATTACGCACTTTAATTAATTAATTAATTCTATTAATTCCAATAGTTACTCCACTATAAACTTGGAATTGAACTCTCAAAATTATAGACATTAATTACTTTTAAACTGTGAAGTGTCTATTTGATATAGTCATTACATATAGATCAATCCTCCATAAATAATTCATAATTAGAGTCAGGTAGAATTCGTTAACCTCTCTAATTATATCTTCATCCTTGAGTACCATTGATTCTCTAATGGATAGTGATTCATAAAACACATTCATGAACCAAAGCGCTCTTACTAATCCAAGTACCGAATCAACACTCAAGAGAATTATTTATCTACTTCTTTCTTACGAAGGAATGGATTCCATCTCGTATAATAACATTCCCGGCTACCTATTTCATAATCTCTCCAAAATACAAGGAATAGGATTCAGGGTCTCAGAATCCGTACCGAGTAAATTAAAATACATAAATCCATAAATAGGAGTTTGTTAAGAACTCAGGATTAAGATCATTCTATATATGACTAACGGTAGACTCAATTAGAATTTTTATGCTTAACGGAAATTATTAGAAATTCATATTGTATCTATGTCCATGTTCCATACTATCTCATTATGTGAAATACACTCATTCAATATCTCACCATATTAACAGTGCGGATAGCACCGTTCCATTCTAAATATGAATGACATGTATTAATAATGTTTTAATTAAAGATTCTGAACTTTAATTAAATTTATTATGAACAATATTTTTGATTATTATCCTTAAACACTATCTTCTCGTATATAACACTTATATACTATGTTTAAGGTTACATAAATAATCACGAAATTTTCATTTTATATTCATAAAATATTCATAAATATATGCACATAAAATTATGAATAAACTCTTTTATTAATTAAATAATAAATATCTTATTACATCTTATGCTATTAAGACACTATTTCCAATAATAACAACCCCAAACAATGCAACAAACTAATTTAAATGAATCGATAGATAATGAAATTCTATGAGAAAAAAACATAGAAACTGATATAGATGAAATTAATGAAGAATGTCAAGAAAACAGTGAAGAAGATGATATTAACATAGAACCTAGAGATGATAATAATAATAATAATTTGGGTCATATTTCTTTTGATATTTAAAAGATGGAAAATTAATATTTAAAGATAAGATGAAATTAACATGGAACCTAGAGATAATAATAATAATAATAATAATAATAATAATAATAATAATAATAATAATAATAAATTGTTAACAATTTCCATGACAGTTGCTTTTGCAAGGAGTTTTCCAAAATCAAAATTGATAAAATCTTAAATGGATTAGCGATGTTGTCTATTGAAAAAATTTTATATCGATATAAAGATTTGATCAGTGATTTTGGTTGTGTTTAGAGTTATTTTATTTTTATTTTTCACGTTTTTTGAGAAAAAAAATGAAAACGAGAGAGAAACGTCGTTTGGCACAATTAAAGACAAAAAACAGAAATAAAAATGATTTTTTTATTTAGTGTAAAATATGAGAGAAATGAAAAATGACTTTAAGTCATTTTTCATTTTTTGTTTATATTTTCTCCTTTCTCGAGCAGAGAGAGAGACATTAATGAATTTTTTTTTACATTGAAAACAATCTCTTGATAAAATTACTAAACGCATTTTTAAAAATAATTTATGTCTCATATTGAAAACGTTTTCATTTCTATTTTTATACAAAAAAATAAAATAATTTTAAAACGAGTTCTAAACGCACTATTTGTATGTCAAAATGGAAGAAAAATATATTTTAAATAAGTTTAAATTCATTTTTTTTATTGGAGTTTTAGAACTTTCGTCTAAGGCCTCAAGTTTGGTTGAGACAGCACGCACAGGCTGGATAACTCTAATTGATTGAGATTAATGGGATGTTTGGTAGAATGATTCGTTCCCTGATTCGAATCATGATTCGTGGTTCGCTACAATATTTTCTCTCATAAAAAATTCACGTAAATCGAAAATAGTTCGAATCACATGATTTAAATTCTCCAATCAAACGTCCTCTCATTAAGAGCACCGAGACCTCCCATCAGCAAAATAAGAATTGCGGACTAGACAATTACAATACTAGAAAATGGAGAAATCACCTCCGTCATTTTAATAGAAAACAACCAAAACAACTGATACACACTAAAACTAACCAGCAAAAACAACAATGCTTTTATTTAATAAATACATGAATCAAAACAAAAAGACAAAACCTAAATAACACTAGTCAGATCTTCGATGACAAGTTGACCATTGTCACGGATGAGCAAAGGAGCTGCAAAGCTACAAAAGCAAGCCAAAGAAATGCCCAAAAAAAGTCGAGCCAATCGCCACCACATGTTATCATCAAGTAGGAACATGTTTCAGATTAGGAAGGAAATAAATATTGTGCGTGTTTATAACTATTTTTGAAAATACTTTTCACATATTTTAAGAAGTAAAAAATGAAAATGAAAATAAAATTACGTTTGTTTAGTAAATATTTTTAAAACAAAAATAGTAAAAATAATTTTTGTGAAGGAATTAGAAAACAGTTGAAAGTTGTTTTCATTTTTCTATTTTCATTTTTTATTATTTATCAATAATATTATAATATATTAATTAATAAAAACGATTTTACTTTTTTATTATACTCAAAATAATCTCTTCAAAAAACCAACCTAACTAAATTTCAGAATCGGTCCCAAAATAATTCTCAAAACAATCTCATTTTTACTTTTTATTAAAAATAAAATTATTCTGAAATCAATTCCAAACACACCTATAAAGTTCAAGGCTCACTATTTTTTAACCCTTTTACCTCTCAAAAACAATGGTCCTTAATCACATATCATTTATCCATCACGTAGTATAATGGTAAAATATTTATATTGCTCTTCTAACAAATACAGTGAGAAAAATTATTTTTATTTTGTTTTCTTCACTTGGATTTTTTAGCTTCTATTTCCTTTCTATTTCAATTTTTCTTATCTGACATAGTGTAAAACTTTAAAGATAGTCTCATTATGGTTATGAGGTTTCCAATGTTTCTTCTTGTTAATGTAAATTATAGTTATACATATTGAATTTTGTATCATTTGCAAATTAAATCCTAAACTTTTAATTTTAGTATTTAATCAATAGCAAACAACGATTGAGGTCCAAAATTACAAAAAAAAAAAAAATAAATAAAAATAAAAGAAAACTTATCAACTAATAAAAAACTTGGATATTCTGCGTAATTTTTTTTCCCAGGGCATTTCCTTTCATTTGTTAGCTATAAAACCACAATTGCTAATTTTCAATAGATTTTCAAACATTCATTTGTCCAAATAAAAACATTTAAGAGTCCAAGTTGCATTATGCCATCACTCTTACTAGATCTAACTCTAATTAACCGGTTCAAATTTTTAAACAGTAAATGCTAATTGACGTTAATTATGTCATCAATGTCAAGTCATTCAGGATTAATTAAGAACAAATGTCTTGATGTGTAAAGTTAAAGTAGTATTTTAGTAGGTTACGAATTTTAGATAATATCGTATAAATATGCTCTTTGAAAGGGAAAGTAAGATATTAATATAATTTGATAAGAATTTGAGCTCCATCATCTCAAAAATTGGTTAGCGAATCGTTGATAATGGTTCTTAGCATTGAGACGATGACATGCAATATGCTTTCTACAACTATACTCATTTATTTTGTTGGTTTAAATTTTTAATTTAAGTTAAAGTAAATTTATGCGGAAAAAGTAATATAACATAAAAATTAAATTTAAATTTGTATGAAAGAAAATACTATAATAAAAATTTGAGCTTGATTGAAATCAAAATGTACTAGTACGAGGTAGCCATTGAGTCTTATAAATACACAACAGTGTTTAAGGTAAATATATATGTATGTGTGTATATATATGAGCATTTCTCTCGCAAAATTACGTGTCATGTAAAATATTTTTACATTTTGGTCGAAACTTTTTCGCTGCAAAAAGTTATCCATTGTAAAGATCAACTGATCCACGTACGTTCTTTTTGTTTCTGGCAACACACATTAGAACATTTTTAATGCAACGTTATAATTAATGTGTCGATTATAAATTTAATATTTGAGTGTAAAAAATACTTTCTAATATAATATTATTTATTGTGTTAAATTTCTCATATACTATACTCTATGACAAATTTCTCACAAAATATATCATATGAAAAATTTGACATTTAATTACTGTTGGTTAAAATATTTACTTTTTTCATGTAATTAATACAACTTTTACATTTTCTAATTATTGCGTATCGGCATGCTAAGTTTTTCTAACTGTTGGATCTGCGTAATTTTTTACTTTTACCTGATTTTATGTACGAAAATTTGACAGACAAAAAACTTGACATATCAGTATGTTGACGTACTGGAAAAGGTCTCTTATTTTAAAAATAGAAGTTTACTTTTATAACTTCTAAAGCTTAATAATTATGGAGTTTCTCTCGTAAGACAACAAAATGGAACTACCGCTAGTTCTGTTTTTTTAGTTATTTTTAGCCGTCAAATCTGTATCAGAAACTGTTTATTTTGCATACATTTTAAATCTCATTTAATTTTAACAAGATCTAAAGATAAAAAAATTAGTCATATTGGTAGGACGGCCTACCGGAGACATTCCCTAATAATCATAAGAAAAAGTAAACTTAGTATTTCAAATAACATTATCTATTAGGGTAAAAATAAAAACAACATATTATATTCTAATTTTTTATACTAAATATACAATTTAAATTAACATTTATATTGAATGTCGTTTCATTCGTGCCAACAACTCCACATACAACAAACTTTTTTTTAAGGGGCATACAATAAAACTGTTACTTTAATAATCTTTAGTTTACTTTTTTTTTTTGGCCTAAATAATACAATTATTGTTGTTATGATCGTTATTATGGTGGGTGAATAGGGGTCTCTGGGTGACTTCTGCAGTTTTTGGTGCATTTTACAGGAGGAAAAAGTTGACTACAAATTTTGAGAGCACAAAGTTTTGGAGATTGGATGGAAGAGTTGTTCACCTCCACATACTTCAGCCTTTTGTAGTTAAAAAAAAAAAAAAAAAAAAAAAAAAAAAAACGCAACTTGAGCAACTACTTAAGTTGACCATTGTCTTTTATTATTTGTCTTCTCCGCTTGCAGACAACCACTAGAATTTATTTTCTAATGTGAGTAATGGACCTAGTTCAAACCCATATCAACCACATTTTGAGAAAGTAACCTCATTTTTAAATTGATTAACACGTGATAAATTGTTTGGATAATAGAGATTAGGAATAATTCACACGTTTTAATATTGCCCAATTGCATGAACTTACTAATATTATATCCCTTTCCCGCCAGTAGTGCAACAAAATGTATAAAAGTCAAAGTCTTCTTCTTCCTCTCTCTCTCTTTTTCTCCTTCCGACATCTTTCCCTCTCCTCTTCCTCTTCACCTTCCTCTTCATTCCCCTTATAATTCTTCAACCCAATCACTCGTTTTCTCCTCTTCTTTTTCCTCACCAAAAAGAAAAAAAAGAAATCAAGAGTACGAGGATACTCATGCTCGTGGATTGCTCCAACTGCCGCACGGCGCTGCAGCTGCCGCCTGGCGCCACCTCCATTCGCTGCGCCATATGCCACGTCGTCACGCGCGTGGCCGAGCCACGCGCCCTCGAGCACTGCGGCCACATCAACGGCCCTCACCACCAGTATCATCCTGCTCCGCCGCCTGCAGCGCCGTCTCCGTACAACCACGCGCCGGCGGGGGCGCCGCCGCCGGTGCACGGCAGGAAGCGGGCGGTGATATGCGGCGTGTCGTATAAGAACACGAGGCGGGAGCTCAAGGGATGCATCAACGACGCCAAATGCATGAAGTATTTGTTGGTCAACAAGTTCAAATTTCCTGAGTCCTCTGTTCTTGTGCTCACCGGTAATTTCTCACCCTCTTTGTTTTTTTTTTTTGGTTAAATAAAGTTAAAGATTAGATTTTTCATGTTATCAACTTAAAGGGTAGGTGAAATGATCTTTGGTAATGACTATATGATTAGAAATTCCGTCTCACGAAATGATCTTTGGGGTATAAATACGCGTTTTTTTTTTTGTCTTACTTCATCTGGGAATTTTTATTAGCTTGATCTAATCTTAATTTTAATGGAAACATATAAGTGTTAGGAGTCCATATTAGAGTTCTATTGCTTCTTATAGTAAGATATGTACAAGGACACCTTGAAAATTGAAAATGTTGTTTCTAGGCTTCTCTTCGCTTATAAGTTTTGGCACAGAAGTCAATTGACAATGTCATCGTAAAAGAAATATGATTTGCATTAGTTAGTCTTGTTTGAAAATTTCCTTCTTAATTTATAAATTGCTACCCCTGACATTATAGAAAAACTGGCACTAGTTTTGACCAGGGCTGACTTTTGTTGTTCGCTATAACATTCTGACATTGATTTCTTCTTGCAAGTTACTTGCAGAAGAAGAAACTGATCCGTATAGACGTCCGACAAAACACAACATGAGGATGGCGCTGTATTGGCTAGTGCAAGGTGTTCAGCCAGGAGACTCCTTGGTATTCCATTACTCTGGCCATGGATCACAACAGAGGAACTACAACGGGGATGAGGTCGACGGCTATGACGAGACCCTTTGTCCCTTGGATTTTGAGACTCAGGGCATGATTGTCGACGACGAGATCAACGCAACAATCGTCAGGCCTCTCCCTGCTGGTGTCAAGCTTCACGCGATCATAGATGCTTGCCATAGTGGAACCGTGTTGGATTTGCATTATCTTTGTAGGATGGACAGGTTAGTATGTTTTTGTCATTCAAAATCTTGAGCCTTTAGCACAAGCAATTTATCAGGTGTTCCGTGATAGAGAAATCAATCTATACCATTAAAATTTAAAATGCTTATGAAAATTTTCAATTTTTATGTATTTTTACCTATGAAAAAGAGCTGCACGGTACAACCAGATTTTGATTTTTCTTACGATTTTCTTTCATTTTTATGTATTCATGTAGAAATGGGAGGTATGTGTGGGAGGATCATAGGCCTAGATCAGGTGTTTGGAAGGGAACCAATGGTGGGGAAGTCATTTCCTTCAGTGGCTGTGATGATGATCAGACCTCTGCTGATAGCTCAGTAAGTTCAATGTCTTGAGAGATCATTTTAACTTTCTATTCATTTAAAACATGGTCAAAAACTCTTTCAAAGCCTTAATATTCTTTTCTATGTGCACTTGTGCAGGCTCTGTCTAAGATCACTTCAACTGGTGCCATGACTTATTCATTCATCCAAGCGATCGAGCGGGGCCATGCGACGACGTACGGGAATATACTAAATTCAATGCGATCTACAATCCGAAACACGGATAATGATCTTGGGGGTGGTATTGTGACGTTTCTTCTCACTATGCTTTTGTCTGGAGGAAGTCTTTCTGGCGGGTTGAGACAGGTATATATACATGTCTTAGTAGTTACTGCACATAAATCTTGGCATATATGTTGAAGAAAATGCTATCACAAAGTAAATTAGATTTAATTCTTATTATGTGTTAATGTTGCAGGAGCCACAATTGACTGCTAATGTGCCTTTCGATGTGTATGCAAAAACTTTCTCCCTTTAAGTATTAAAGTGGTCTCTCCATCATGCGGGTCATTACACTACGTTTACAGTTTACCAAAAAAATCCATTTTTTAAATATCTTTGTTTCTTCAGTTTGCTGTAATTAAATAAATTGTCTTTGTGCTTCACTTTACTTGGTTGATAATTTTTCTTCTCATTACTCTGCTATAGCCTTGTATGCATTCTCTTCACACATCAATGTATAAAATTTACAAACAAACAAGAAGCAAACCAATTACATATAAAAATTCTCATTACAATTAATACAATCATCATCTCAGCATATATATATATATTTATATAAAAAAAAAAAAAAACAGAAGAACAAAAAGTAAACTAGAAAAGAATAATGGGAAACCTATCCTCTTATCTTCTTTGTGTCGTTTGGGCAGCTTTGCTATTAAACAACTTGGATTGCCTCTTGTACCTTGCATTGTCCTTGACAGCCATTTCTTCATATAACTACACCCACATGAGAGATTTTTATATATTTTAAAAAGGAAAAAAATGATTGTAAAGGACTATTTATAATTGAGATGGAGCGCCACAAACCTTTTTGTCTTTCTGAGGTAGTTTGCACCACAGTAGACCAAGTTTCTTACTGGTTTCGCCAAATGAAGACGACTTGACATCACCCCAAGTTGCCATTACAAAAAAAGCGTAAGAAGTGCACGGTCTTATAGGACAACTATGTCTCCTAAACAGCCTCTCAAACACATCAACCTTCTTCTTCTTCCTTGACTTCACCACTTTCTCACAACAAGACAGCGAGACCCGAGGATAATATGTCACCGGAGATATGACCCCGCTTCGCAGCCTCGTCACGACAAACGACTCCCTTCTGATCTCCGTCGTCCGATCAGAAGTACAGCAATTCTCGTCCATTAGTAGCTCCGAGGCAATCGGAGTTACATAGGAAGAAGCAGGACTTAATAAATCTTCTGTTGAAAACTTTTCCCGGGTGTATTCAACTGTCTCAAGAGACTGAAAGGGGCCAACTTTTTCGGGGAAAAGTGTCTTGTTGATGTTGAGTTGAACCGAGAATTGCAAATTCCCCGCGTCGCCTTGGACTTGGATGGTGTCTCCGCTGAGAAAACCGGACAGTTGGAGAGGAGTTGGAGATGCTAAGTTTGTTGGTACTACTATTGGACTTCTTGGTGGTGGTGGTGGTGTGTTTGACGATGATTGTCTTGGTTGTTGGAAATCCATGCTTGACATTGAAGAAGGAAGGAAACCGTACAAGAGAAAGTGAGTATTTGCAGTTAATGGAATTGTAAGAAAGGGTGGTTTTTGAGTTTATTGACATGACTGGTTGTGAAAAGTTCGACCGTTGCATTGCACCTTTTGGTGTTGGTCACCAGTGTTCAAATGACGGTTACAAATTGGTGGTTGGTCCTTTGTAGTTTGCATCATATTCTTACTCTTTAACCAGAAGAAGTCACAAGCACCTTCTCAAAATAAATTAAAAAGAAAAAAGACAAGATACGATTGTCAAAAAAAAAAAAAAAGAAAAAAAAAGACAAGTTGCGAAATGGGATTTTACAAGAAAAAAAGGATTTTAAAATTCCTCAAAAAATGAAATTGGGATTTATTTTTTTGAAAACAAAAGGAACTATTCTATGGAAAAAATCATAAAAAAGTATATTTAACAAGAATTGATATAAATAATGATTGGAAACTCATGTATTCTTTTTTTTTTTTTTTTTTTTTTTTTGGGGGGTTTTCTTGTGATATATGTCTCAAAGAATATATAAGGACTGTTCGGTAGGGTTAAAAATTCAAAAAAATATAACTTGAGTTTTAATTTTATTTAAGTTTATGTTCTTTTAAGTTTGAACTCGAATTTAGGATTAAAACTTGAGTTTAAATTTTTTCTTTAACTCGAGTTCAGAAACTCAAACTCAAATTAATGAACAGTATTTTTTATATTCTTAAAAATGCTATAACTTTTTCGTTTTAATCCTGATTGATATGATTTTTTTCTATGCGTTGACAACGAAAAGACGAATAAAACCCCACTCATATATCATATTAAAATTTTTCATCACCATTGAGTTTTTATTAAAATATTATCTAAATACAAATTCAAGTTTTGACTCACTCAAACACGAACTCAAAAAAGATTTTTATCTCAAACCATAACTCAAATGTACACAACCAAATACAAACTCAAGTTACAACTTCAACTCAGGTTATAACTCACAACTCAAGAACTATACTTAAATCACACTCCAAAACAACAAGCCAATAATCTTTTGGCATATATTTTTTCTTGTTTACTAAGAGGTTATTTGGTTGGGGGATTCGTCCCCTGATTTGAATCATGGTTTGTGGTTCGTTACAGTATTTTTTAAAAATAATTTAAATCATATAGTTTTAATCCATGAACTAAACGTCTTCTAAGAAGAAAGATTTTTTCCTTATGAGAATTATCTCTAAAAGAAAAAAGGAAAAAAAAAAGTAATTGGCTCTTTGGCCAATCCAATAGTTTTTTTTAATAAAAAAAAATTTCAGACCAATAGTGTTAGTACAAGTAGTGCACGTAGGGCCTGTTCACTTCGCTGATTTAAGTTTGTAATTTGAGTTGAGATGTGATTTTATGTGAGAGCTTTTTACTGTAGCAAAAAAGTTAGATGTGATTGTTTATGAGAGTTTTTTACTGTAACAAAACTCAAATTTTAAACTCGAATTGGTGAAATGAACGGGCCTTAAGTACTGGCAGCACATGGCAGTACCAAAAGTGACGACATTGTTTTGTGTTTGGCTTGAAACAATGACGACATTCTTTTGTGTTTGGCTTGAAACAATGACGACATTTTGAACGTAGAATTTGATAACACAAGAACCCCAAAACACCGTGAATCTCTCGTTGTCCATTTGAGCTCTCTCCCAAAAAATCACACAACAGTTTGGAAATGGTGGCATTAAATATACCAGTAGCAACAACCAAGCCCGTTTCGCTACCCTGCGCGTTTGTTCCATCAACGGGACTTCATGGGAATCTGGGCTTACCTCGTACCTTGAAATGGCCAAAGAAAATGGTGAATTTGCCTCTTCTTTCTTCTTTTTTTTCCGTGCTTGATTTAGTTTGGTGTTCTATGTTTGTAATTTTAATGTTGCACCCTTTTGGTTTTCTGAGAAAAATGCAAGAAAACTGAAAAGAAGTTATGGGAAATGTCAAAAATTGATTGTTTTATTGTTGTAAGCAGAGACAATGCACTAGAAAGGATGGTCCCACTAAAGTGAGTGCCAAGTTTGAGCTAAAGCCTCCTCCATATCCACTGGTAAGGACTGCTTTCATGCTTGTTATTATCTGGTTAGGAATTAGGTGTTCAATATTGTCATTTTGTGGATGTAGATCTATTTTGGTTTCTACAAGAATTTAATGGTCTACACAGTATCAATTTAAGTTTGATCATGTTTTTGCCGACCATGTGTATGTTATATGTCCTCAGTGTGAAGTTCTGTTGCAGAAACTGAAAAAGTAAAGATTTTTAAGTTACTTTCCACCGTAGAAATTGGTTGTAAAACTTCAAGGTTGCTTAATGAAATTATGTAATAATGTTGAGTAAAGCAACTAAAACTGTTATTCTATGTTCTGTTGTAATGTATCATTGTGTGGTAGAATGCTTTGGAGCCGCATATGAGCAAGGAAACTTTCGAGTACCACTGGGGGAAGCACCACAGAACCTACGTGGAAAACTTAAATAAGCAAATTGCTGGAACAGAACTGGACGGGTTGTCGTTGGAAAAAATTGTTGTCGCTACATACAACAAGGGGGATCTTCTCCCTCCATTCAACAATGCAGCACAAGTATGTTGATTAGAATAGACTTGTGTGGATGTTTTGAATTATTGGAGTGGGTAATCTATTGAAGTGCTTTGTGGAAAAACCAATTTAGTAAATTCACTTTTTTTTTGTAAGTTCGTACAGATGCTATTGGATGTCGAAGTATTTAAGCACTTTGATTATAGTAATATGAAAAGATCGCCGGTGTTAAGATTCATTTTCTCGCTCCCCATTGCGGGCAAGACATGCCCAAACACTGGAGTGTCTACTTTACTTTAATTAACCTCATTCCTAAAAGCTTCTTTATTGTTTCGTTTTAACCTATTCACAGGTTTGGAACCATGACTTCTTCTGGGAATCCATGAAACCGGGTGGGGGAGGAAAGCCGTCCGGGGAGCTTCTAGAACTAATTGAGAGAGATTTTGGTTCTTTCGATAAATTCATTGGAGAGTTCAAGACGGCTGCAGCTACACAGTTTGGTTCTGGTTGGGCTTGGCTTGCATGTGAGTTGTATAACCAATTCTTGTTTCATATTAGTAGGTGGATTCAGTCGAACACTCACATTCCTTGTTTCATTTATCTTTTAATATAGACAAAGCAAATAGACTCAACGTTGGAAATGCAGTAAATCCTAATCCATCAGAGGAAGACAAAAAGCTTGCAGTTGTGAAGAGCCCCAATGCTGTAAACCCACTTGTTTGGGATTATTATGTGAGTACTATGCTTGGTTAACTCTTTCTTTCTAATTCATGTTATAGCATATATTTCGATAGCAGTTGCTTCTCTCTGTTTAACGACGTTCGTTTTTTACTTTTATGCAGCCCCTCCTTACCATTGACGTCTGGGAGGTAATTGGCAGTTTTATGTTTATCTCTATTGAATCAAATAAGTTCAATTTTATATTTTTCAAGGGAAAAATGTTAATTACCAGTTACTAACTTCATTTTATGAACTTGGTTCTCAACAGCATGCTTACTACCTTGACTTTCAGGTGAGTTTGGTTATGATAAACGCCATAGTCCTCACTTTTGCATGAAGCCATTCATGCAGATCATCTAATACGATTATACAATAATTGCATCTTTGGCTCTTTGTGCAGAACCGGCGACCAGATTACATATCTCTCTTTATGGAGAAACTCGTGTCATGGGATGCAGTCAGCGCTAGGCTTGAAGCTGCAAAGGCTGAAGTTGCTGAAAGAGAGAGGGAAGACGAGAGGAAAAGTGTGGAAGAGGATAAAACATCAGATAGCGAGGATGAGGGGTACTTGGACAACAATAGTGACGTATCTGAAGCTGAATGAGTTTGAATTTATTTTGTAATGACAGTAAAGTAGGAAAGAATTTTTGTCTCTCTCTCTCTCTCTCTGTATACCAGAAATTTTATTATGTATTCCAAATGTTTCTCTGCTGATTAAAGTAATAAATCTCTAGTCTCTACTGATTCATTTCATAGAAAGTGTGGCAAGGCGTTCCATCCACTGAATGTGTACAAATAACATGAAGACCTTATTACAACATCTAATATACATCCTAATAATCACAAGAAAGCAAACACCTCATTGTTTCCTTTGTATTCACGAGAAAACCAAAACCAATGCCATGAAGCATTTCATTATCTTATGGGAGAAGTTTTGAGGGACAAAAGTCTGTCCAGTTCCGAGAGTCTCGAATTATCAGCGGAGGGTGGTCCAAACACCTCCCAAAGGCGAAGAGTCTCGTCTGCACCCGCTGATGCCACAGTTAAACCATCAGGGCTCTGCAACAAATCAACAAAATAGACTAAAGTTGTAAGCTTCGAATCCCAACTAGAGTTTAGAACACTATCAATCTTGAGATAACTAAACCTGTGAAAGGTGGAGAACTCTGGATGAATGACGCTTCAAGTCTCCAACTTTAGCCATTGAAGGGTACCTCCACAAACATAGCTGGTTCGGACGCTCACCGCTGCTAAAGCCATGTCCACTTAGTAACTCCTTGTGATGCCTGTTCCACTCCAGTCCGCAAATCTGAAACCACAAGATTCACAAGCACAAAAGAGATCGGTTTAAAAACAAATGATTCAGTGCATTGCATATTCTAAGTGGTTAATGTCATTTATTTAACTGATTAGAATATGACAGAAACGGCAAAAATATTGTATAACTTGCCTGCGCTTTGGTCTCTATGCTGCTAATGCAGGTGCCCTTTTGCGTATTCCATAACTTAATGCTTCCGTCATTGGTGCCTCCTCCAGAAGCAAGCACCTCGGACTGATACGGGCACCAAGCAAGTGCCTTCACTGCTGCACGGTGGTCTTTGAAACGGTACAAGAATTTCGAGGAACTCAATTTGGCAGATTCCCAAATGAAAATGTGATTTTCATTGCCACCACTCGCCAACATATTGCCTGTTTCCGACCATTTCAAACCGCAGACTTCGTCGGCATGTGCCTCTACTCGGCAAACCACATTGCTCGCTGCCCTGACTACAATGTGAAAACAAAGCAAATCATTAAAAAAGAGAATAATATAATTCCATATACAAATCTATAGAGACAGAGAGAAATTGCATAAAAGGATAGAATATGATTTACCGTCATGGTTAATGATGGACTTGTCTTGGCTTCCTGATGTAAGAATGTGACCGTTCCATGCAATGGTTGCTACCCTTTTCTTATGATCTTCTAAGGTTCTAACCTGTGCACAAATACAAGCTTCAAATCAAACCAAAGTGGCTAGACCAAAGAATAGTATACCATTTAAAAAAAGGCTACGAGATTTACAAGTTTGGAAGTCTCAGCATCCCAAAGTTGGAGCTTTGAGCCCATATATCCAACTGCCAAAGTTTTGGCATCTTTAGACCAGACGACACTTGTGGGGTAATCATTCTCACCAACTGCCAACAGCTTCTCTACCTTCTTGTTCTCCGAATTCCAAAGATACAATTCCGATCCCAACGCGACCGCGATGAGGCTGTTGTTCCCCCAATCCAATATGTTCATGTAGAAGTCATTCTTGATATTTGGTGCATCCAAAATCCTGGCTTCTACCTGTGTGTTTACATGGACTAAAAAAATTTTAAGGCAAAACACAAAAGAGAGACTTTATTTGGTGATTACACCTTTCAAAAGAAAAGGCACCTTTGGCAATCTTCTTAAGTTATAGTGCTTGGTATGTTTTTGCAGTTCCTCTTCCTCATCCTGTCGCATCTCGTCCACGCAACGAATCGATTTCCGACTCGATTTCGGGCTTCCTCTGAATACCAACATCCTAAACGGCTTCCCTTCCGAGTCCAACGTCAGTTTCGCCTCCACTTTTCGTCTGTACATTTCCTGTCGCAAACCAAATAAAGAAACCCAAGAACCCGAATTAAACTCTACTAATTTATAAATCCTTAAAATGGAATTTCACTCGTGAAGAAACCAATTCGCAACATACATTGAAACTGGAATTGCGTTGTGATTTGGTCCGGTTTGTCAACAAACTGTGGGCTTGATCTAGATCCATCAAACTCCTATTTGGTATAAACCGATCTCCCTAGTAATCAAATCCCCAAAAACAGTTCAAATAAAAACACAAAATAACAAAGAAAAAAAGGCATAGAAAATCAAAGAAGAAAAGAATTTGACTATTTTCTTGTACCGGAAAATCGTATTGGGTGGCCGGATTACTACGGAGACGAGTCGGCGAGTACCAATCGCATTGAAGCTCTGACATGTTTTCTGCAATGGGGTTGACTTTTGTTTTTTTTTTTTCTTCCCTAAGCTTCAATATTGAACAATTTATCGGGGAAAACTTTCTTGCTTTAATTTTTCTTTTTCTTTACGATTCTCTGCAGACAAAGAAAGTAAAGAAAGGAAAAAGGAAACATTGGAGAAGAAGAAACATTCAAGGTTAGGCTTGGGGAGGCGTCGATTTCTCCCGCCAAATTTTGTTATTTATGGAAAGGGCATTGTTAGCTTAACGGACACTTTTAGGACCGACTCGGCGTTCGGCAACGGTTCGGGTTCCGGTGGGCCTCTCGGGCCCAAACATCACGTTCAAATGTCGGTCTAACTGAACAAGTGAATATATTTTTTGTTTTTTTAATCTATTTTACGAGTTGTAAAAAATTTTTTTAAAAAAAGTTTTACGAGAAGTTAAAAAAAAAATGTAAAACTTACAAAGGACTGTAAAGCTCAATCTAGGAGTGTTCACATAAGAGTCAATTCGTAACCCAATTTAAAATCTTTAAATTAAAAAATCTTAATTTATTTTCGATCCAAAATATTTTTAGATCCAATCGAATTCAATTCAAAACCTATCAGATTTTACAGATCGATTCACGAATTTCACAGATTATAACCTTTAAAATTAATAAATTATTAAACATCTATATAAAATAAAACACAACACGAAATCTTCTTTTATCAATGACATTTTAAAGTTAAAAGTTTACAACATACATGACCCACGTAAACATATCATAACATAAAATCCTTCAACAAATTATGAATAATATGCACAAAAAGAAGATAAAACTTAACTTGAAAAAATTATATATTATACATATAATATGTTTTGGATTTACAGATTTCGAGGATTGAGAAATGCACAATTCAAAAATCAATCCAAAACTTTATATTGGAAAAATCCCAATCCAAAAATCTCAGATTGGATTGGATTTGACAGATCAATCGAATTGACGGATTTTTTGAACACCCTATTCAATCATACACCCTGAAAAAGGTTGATTTTAAATGAAGTTTTCTTGTTGTTGGTTGCTACTTTCTTGAATTGCTTTCCCCCTCCATTTTATACCCGCTTTTTTGGTCTTAAGATTGTTGATTTTAAGAATGAGTGATTCCTCTTCTCCGACCCTTATTACCCAACCTGATATATATTATTTTAATCTCATATTAGTAGATATAATTAAAAATTTTGTTGTTATTGTTCCCTTTTTCTCTTCTCATAGTCATTGTAGGTCCTAGTCATGGCTTCTTATTTTTATGTTCCCATGTCATTCTAATATGATTTGATGGTCAAAATAGTATAATACAACAAAAAGTTATTATTTATATATGTCTGCATGAACATTTTGGGTTCTAACAATTTAGTTCTTGATTTTTTTTTTAACAATTTACGACCCCAGTTTACTAAATTATAGTAATGTGACTCATTTGGATGATAATTATGTTAAATTATAAGCGAAAAAATATGTTTAATTTGTGTTAAATTATAAGCGAAAAACATGTTTGATTAAAAATTTTCAAAATTAAATCTCTCGAACTCTAATATAAATTTCTCAATTTTCTAATTCTTAGTCCCTCAAATCCAACCAAAATTCATAACAAAATTGCTAAACTGAGACATATTGCAATAACTTAGCAAGTTCGATGAGTAACAAAATTAAAAGTTCAACAATCAGTTACTAAAGTTCGAAAAGTTTAAGAGTAAAATTGCCAAAAACAAATTAGATTAAGAAAGGGTATAAAAGGGAAAACCATTTGAATTAATTTAATTAACTTTTTATTCCCAGTCACAATCCGTAAAGAGTGAGTCAAAAAAGATTTTTTTTAAAACAAAAAGTGTTGACAATAAGGGTTTACTACAGTAACACTCCATGTGTTTTATTAATATTACAATGACACCTCTTGACTGAAATTAACCACGTCAACATCCTGTAATTTTTTTTAAAAAAAATTACACTGACACTCATTCCATTAGTTGACGATGAGTTGATCGTTAATTTGTTTCATAATGCCATAAATGCCCCTCCAGAGGTTTCTAAGCTATATATAAATATAATGCTAAAAATGTCGGTTTTACCCCTATTTAACACTAATGATGGATTTTTTTTAACCATGAAAAAATGTATTCTCTTGTTCCATTGTTCTTCAAAAATCATTTTTTAATAATAACATTATAGATTATTCTCATAAATATCCCTTAAACTATAGACCCTTCTTTAATTTGCCCTCTATTTGTTCAAAACCGTTCGCCGTGCCTCCTAATATACACAACATCATTCAAAATGGTCCTTCTTCCATCTATTAATGTTAACAGAACACTGACGTGGCATATTATTAAAAACTAATCAAAGATATTTTAAAATATAAATCATAGTTATTATAAAATGTTAATAAAAAATTAATTAACCTTTATTGGATTTTTTAATTCAAAAAAAAAAAAAAAAACACCCTCCCTTTCTATTCTCCCTCCCAACCTATCCTACGGCATCTCCCGTCACTATGAATCTGAGAAAACATCAAGTTCTTGTGGGAAGCTTACTTCTCGTCATCACCAAATGGCAATTTAATTAAAATTTGTTTTTTTTTTTTTTAAATAATTCACACGCCAAATGATAATTTGAAAGAGATAGTGGAGGATTGCATACCTGCTTCCCTCCTTCAATCCAAAACTAAATTCAACTGAGGATGTGTTTATTATAACTTGAATTGTGTTACGTATGTAAGAAAAAAAATATTATAATAAAAAAATTTAAATTTAAATTCTTATAAAAAATACTATAATAATAAAATTTAAGTTTTGAATTGAATGAGTTGTGAATGTACTCTCTCTCTAATATGTCACAAGTAGAGATTATTACTCGTTAGAAATTTGTGTCTTGTTCATTTCGTAAATTTAAGTTTTTAATTCGATTTGAGATTTGATATTTTCTGAAAATTTTTAACTGTAATAAAAAAAAATTAATATGACATTTTTTTAAAAAATTTTAACTGTAAAAATTTAAAACTAAAAACTTGAATTAATAAAATAAACGAAACCTGAATTAAAAGGCAAAATCCATTTTCCATTAGACCAATATAGAGGCCTTTGTAAAAATTACTCTTTTGAAAAGTTTTATTAGTAAAATAATTTCTCAAAAATTTTTATTTGCAAAATGACCTCATTTTATAAAGAATGAGTAAATGTCTTTTTTCATAAAAAATAGAAGAAGGTCATTTTACTAATTTCACTTTGTTGAAAAGTCATTCTAGTATATTGCCCACCAATACATTACAGTGGTCCCAGTTAGCAAGAAATTCCAAAACATTACAACTACACAACACAATGTTGGGCGTCGGGCCTGGGTGGGTGTCGTCGGCATGGGTTGGCTTGCCGTCGGCGCGGCTGCGACGGCACGGGTTGGCTTGCGGGGGCGGCTTGCCGTCAGCAGCCGGTGACGCGGGTGGGAGGGATCAGCGGGAGCCCGGAGGGGGGCTGGTAATGTGATGTTAGGTTTTAATTTTTATTTTTTTTCCTTAAAGGAAAAGGTTGAATGGACGGTTGGGATTAGGTTTCTATTGGTCAATGGTTAATATTAAAAGTGGTAATTTTGGCATTTCACAAGTATATTATTGAGGGGTTGTTCTTTTACAAAGGTCTCGTCCATTTCACCAATTTAAGTTTTCAATTTTAAGTTTCTACAGTAAAAAACTCTCAGATATTGTCACATCTAACTTTTTTTGCTACAGTAAAAAGCTCTCAGAAAATGTCACATCTCAGCTCGAATTAAAAACTCGAATCAGCGAAGTGAACGAAGCCAAAGAAACTCAGAAAAAATTTGAATTTGAGTTACAACTTTATTCAAGTTTATGTTCTTTTATAAAATTTGAGTTTGAACTCGAGTTTGGGCTAAACTTAAGTTTAACCCCTTCAACTCGAGTTCATAAATTCGAACTTTAGTTAATAAACATTATTTTTTATATTCTTAAAAATATTATTTTTTTCGTTTTAATTATGATTGAGATGATTTTTTTCTATGCATTCACAATGAAAAGATGAATAAAACCCTACCCATATACCCTATTACAATTTTTCATCACCATTGAGTTTTTATTAAAATATTATTTAAATATAAATTTAAGTTTTGACCTACTCATACACAAACTCAAAAATATTCTCAATTTAAATCATAACTCAAATGTACACATCCAAACACAAACTCAAGTTACAATTTTAACTCAAATTATAACTCAAACTTAATTTAAAATTATCACTCAAGTCACTATAACTCAAAAATGTAAAAGAACAACCCCTAAATTTAACAAAATTCAGATTATTTTATGGGGTGTTGTTGCGATTAATTTTGATTGAGAGGGTGTAAGCTATAATATTGATAAAACACACTGTAATAAGCACGGACATAAATACAATAATCTCAAGTGAAACCGAAATCTCAAAATTATCCCCACTAATTTACGAAATTTCAAAAGTCACCCCTTCTTCTTCAACCCTCCCCAATTCCCTAACTCCCAACCCCGCAGCATCTAGGTCCCCAAATATATTTGCCCCAAAGGCAAAAAAAAGAAGGAAAAAAAAAAAAAACATTGAAGTTGATTTAAGGACATTCACTAGAGAGAGGGATATGGATGAACACGAGGTCTACGGCGGAGAGATCCCCGGCGACGACGCAGACATGGACGCCGACATCGACAGGCACGACGACGACGGCCAAGACTACGAGGACGACTCCAACTCCAAGGCACCGCCGCCGACTTTTCTTTTCTTTTCTCGCTTGCTTGATCTGTTTTCGCTACTTAGGGTTAACATTCGATTTGCTTTGGTTTGGTTCGGCAGGAGTTGGAGGACATGAAGAAGAGGCTTAAGGAGATGGAAGACGAGGCCGGCGCTCTCCGCGAGATGCAGGCGAAGGTCGAGAAGGAAATGGGCGCTGTTCAAGGTTCTCTCTCTCTTCAACTTCTTTACTGTAGTCGTATGTCTTTTCATATAGATGTATCTATTGGTGGTTATTTGAGCTGTATCGTGAGTTTTATACTTGTCATTTGGTGGATTCAGCTTTACGTTAGTTCCTTTTGGGTTATTAAGAAAAAGGTTTCTGAATCTGGAGAATCTTATTTGAAAGATTTGAGGTTGTTAATCTTGTATTAATGATACTCTTCCAACTATTTTGTTTTATTGCATTTAGTATGAACTTTTTTCAAATTACCTAGCGTGTTTATTCAAGTATGCTTTTTAATTTTAGTTGCATTGTAAAAAAAAAAAAAAAAAGAATAGAACTTTACATATCCCTATCATGTCTTAGCTGTGCTTTCTATATCCGACTTAAATCTGTTGCAAAAACATTATGGTGGTGCGAGCAGTCTGGTTGAAAGCAATATTTTTAATTTGCTCAACCTTTTTCAAGGGGCTTTTGATTTTATGGTACGGGCTTAAAGGGGCTTTTGATTTTATGGTACGGGCTTATGTATTTGTAGAGAGTTGTAGAATTATGATTTGGGACTAGGATATTTGTAGATGAGGTATATAGGAAATTTGGGACGGAGAGAAGGATATATATAAACTAGCTAGGATAAGAGAAAGGAAGTGTCGGGACCTAAATCAAGTGAGATGTGTTAAGGATGATACATATCAAGTTCTGACAAAAGATAAAGACATTAGGGAAAGGTGGAGGAGTTACTTTGAGAAGTTTTATAATGATGATCATGCGATAGAGTTTGAAGATCTTAGGTCACAAGGAGAACCTAATGTGATGTATACAAGAGGAATCAGAGTCTCGGAAGTTAAAACTGCAGTACGGAAAATGAAAAAGGGGAAGGTGTGTGGGCCAGATAATATTTTAATAGAGGTTTGGATGGCGTTAGGAGATGTTAGAATTGCATGGCTCACTAAGCTTTTTAATGAGATACGAAAGAAGAAGCATATGCTGATGCGTGGAGGAAAAATATTCTTGTCCCCATCTTGAAGAATAAAGGAGATGTGTTGAATTGTAACAATTATAGGGGCATAAAGTTAATAAGCCACACTATGAAACTTTGGGAGAGAGTTATTGAAAGGAGAGTAAGGGCCACAACTACCATCTCAGGTAACCAATTTGGTTTCATGCCAGGCAGATCAAGGACGAAAGCCATTTTTCTTCCTAGGATGTTGATAGAAAGGTACAGAGTAGTCAAGACGGACCTACATATGGTCTTTATAGATTTAGAAATGGCATATGATAGGGTACTGAGGGAAGTTTTATGGTGGGTGCTAGAAAAGAGAGGAGTGCATGTGAGGTATATCAAGGTAATAAAGGACATGAACGATGGGGTGGTCATGAGTGTGAGAATTGCTGGAGGCTACACGGCATAGTTCCCCATTCGGATCGGCCTTCATCAAGGATCTGCTCTTAGTCCTTATCTTTTCACCATTGTGATGGATGAGCTGACAAGAGAAATCCAAGATAAAGTTCCTTGGAGTATGCTTTTTGCGGACGATATAGTTTTAGTTGATGAACATAGGGAAGGAGTTAACCGTAAGTTAGAACTGTGGAGACAGACTCTCAAAGCGAAGGGATTTAAGTTAAGGCATGATGGGTTAAGTGGAAGAATGCTACGAGAGCTTTATGTGATGACAAGATGCCTATTAAGTTGAAAGGAAAGTTCTATAGGACTGCAATCTGCCCAGTTATGTTATATGGTAGTGAATGTTGGGCCGTTAAGAGACAACATATATGTAAGATGAGTGTGGCAGAAATGCGTATGTTAAGATGGATGAGTGGTCATACGAGAATGGATTGCATAAGGAATGAAGTTATTCATAGTAAAGTAGGTGTAGCACCAATAGAAAATAAGGTGCGCGAAGGCCGCTTGAAGTGGTACAGGTATGTCTAATGTTGACTGCTAGAAGCATCAGTTCGTGCTTGGGAGGACATTCTTATACCTAATACTAGAGGAGGGAGGGGTAGACCAAGAATTACGTGGACCGAAGTAGTTAGGAAAAACATTCTAGATCTAGGCTTTCAGGAAAGTCTAATAGCCGACCCCAATTAAGTTGGGATTAAGGCTTGTTATTGTTGTTGTTGTTGTAGAATTATGATTTGAATGAAGAAATGAACTGAATTATATGCAAATTGTTCATAGTATATTTTGTTGGATGTTTCGGATCTTAGTTTCACTTCTAGGATTCGTGCCTTCAGAACATTTATCGTCTTTTGTTGATATTTTTACATCTTTTGAATATGTATGAAGATTCCTCGAGTGCCACTGCAACTCAAGCTGAAAAGGAGGAGGTGGATTCCCGCTCTATTTATGTTGGTAATGTGAGGCCTCTATCCATTTTCTATACTATTTGAAATTTGGATTCTGTTGCTATGTTTTCTTAGTTGGTCTTTCTATATATATATGTATATATCTATATACATATATATATATTTGAATAGTGTTTATTTTACAAAACTGATATAGGAAGTTGAAATCTATATTAGTCATAGTATTTGAGCCTGGTGCATATAGGGTTATTCTATCGGATAGTTTTTTGCTTTAGTGTGCCCCTGCCTGGTAGTTTTCTTATGTTTGATCATGCCTCTGATTTTACTTAGTTTTCGTGCGGAATAACTGTCTCAGGCACATTTCTCTGATGCCCCTATGGAAAAGGAAAAAAAGAAAAAGGGAATTTTTTTTTTTTTTTTTGATATCTCAGGAGTCAGGAGGTCCAAGCCTCTTAAGAGTACTTGGCAACTCCTGAGGGGGATTTCGACCCTCCTATCTGGACCCCCTTGACAAACTATGGGAGGTGGCCCCAAGGGGATTTGAACCCAAGACCTCCCTGTTGATGTTTGATGTTAAAAGCAAGAGTATGTAAGCTCAGTTTAGTTGTTTGTTTCTTGAATTCAGGTTGACTATGCATGTACACCTGAGGAAGTCCAGCAGCATTTTCAATCTTGTGGAACTGTCAACAGAGTTACAATTTTGACAGACAAGTTTGGCCAACCAAAAGGATTTGCTTACGTTGAGTTTGTTGAAATCGACGCTGTTCAGAATGCTCTCCTGTTAAATGAATCAGAATTGCATGGTCGTCAATTGAAGGTCCTTAATTTGATCTTTATGTACAATATTTTTTTCTAGGTTTACTCATTTGATTATAGTGGTTTGATATAATGATATGTTTATAGGTCTCTGCTAAGCGGACAAACATTCCTGGAATGAAGCAGTATCGAGGAAGGCGACCTGGTTCATTCCCCCGCTCCCGAAGACCATTCGTGCCCGCCCCATTTTATCCTTCGTATAGTTATGGGTGAGCACTGCAATGTTTATACTGTTTGTCTTCTTTTTCATATGAAGGTGTTTTTTTGCTACTGATATGAAGGTGTTTATAGTGTACTGTAGATTTTTTAGAGTACTGTTTAGCCTCTTAAAATAACTATTGAAAGTAAGTTAGGTGTAAATATGTGCGGAAAGGTGATAGAGTGCAATCATTTTGCAAAGTTTCTTAAAGCTTATTACTTTTTCTTCTTTTCTGTGGTATATTATAAACAAATTCCGTGATGTCTTCATCTCATATTCTGTAGTTTTTACTCCACATTGTGAAGATAAACAACTCAACTTTATCCATACTCCCAATCACTTTCCTTGTCATCTCATCCTGTGTTAGGCTATTGCTAGGGACACAAATCACTGATTGAACTATGTAGCGCTCAAATCAGTAGGATATTGCACACCTAAGATAATATGAACGTTGACAATTAAAAGTCAACACTTGTACGTTAATGGCGCTGTTTCTGCTTTGCTTCACTTCAGGTCCTTAAAAGTATATTTTGTTTCCTTCACATCACAAAAGTGTCTATATAAGTAGAATTCTTCACCGGGTTGCCATATCCAAATAACTATCTGGTATGTTGTGATCCCGTTGTTGTAGAAGAAAGCGTCCGAGGCCGAGCGCTTCCCCCTTGAGGAAGGGGTGGCGTGGTATACCACGAGAGAGGTTTTCATTACAATTCGTGGCGCACATTAGTGTGTTGGGCGCACATTAACAACTTCCTGTTGGGGGCTACTTGGCCGCTTTGCTGCCCTAGTTTTTGCAGCCCGAGTGAGGAGTTTGCCCTACATCTTTTCCTTTTTTTTTTTTTCCTTTTCAAAAGCTTTGATTTTTCATCTTCTACTCTTGGTTCCATTGTTTGGAAACCAGTAGCTTGCTGGTTGGTTCAATTTTGGTCGCACTCCATGAGATATAATATGCGATATTTCCAACTTTGCATCATATATCTAATCTTTCTCATTTGCAGGAGGGTTCCGAGGTTCAGGCGGCCAACGCGGTACAGGCCATACTGATGATGAGTTTTACATTGTTTAGGGTGGACACCATTATGGAAAGACCAATAATTAGAATGTTTTTACATTGGTCGAAATTCCGTTCTGTAATCTGGATGAAAGAAGTTTTATCGCCGTTTGCGTTGGCCATGGCCAACTTGATCCTTTCTCGAATCAGAAGCATGCGGAGGAGAGATTGTGTTTATGTTTCGTCCAAATCATGCTTTTACTTGCTTTTCAGGGGGTATGAGAAGATGCAACTACATGCTTTAGATGATAGAATATTCAGTTGTATGCATTGGAAATAATTCCCTTGTTACATTTGTAACGTTATTAAGTTGAACGTGGAGACGTTTTTAACACGAAGGCTTTGAATCTATATTTATTAATGAAGTTGGTGCATTGAGTATGAACTCCGAAGTATTTGTCAAAAAATGCCAGGATCTTGGCCAAAAAAAAAAAAAGAAAAAAAAAAGAGGAAAATAAAGTTGGAATTGAACTTTTGAGAATAAAAGAATTTGGCAGTAGTTAATTTTTTAGAGGGTGTTATATTATCGCTGTGCAAAGAAGTTGCGCTCCTTTTTGAAGATTTTTAAGGATATCATTTTTACTTTTCATTGTCATTCGTTTTATGTTCTTACATATATGGTATTTCATTCTGCAAAAATTCATCCGGTATTTACTTTATTCTTCTTTCATGATATTCCTCTCGTTTACAGATATTGACGTTTACTTACCTAATTTATTGACGTTCTATAGATTTGTTCTTTGAAGTCAATAGCTTCACAGTTGATGCTTAATGCCATCTCATGAAATTATGTGTGCATTTTTCTTCTCTCTCTTTCTTTTTGGCAAAAAAAAAAAAAAAAAATTTGTGTGTTTGTTGTCTAAAGGATTGACAACGCGAGATCAACGGTCAGAGGATCGACGGTGCTCTTCTTTTTCACTCTCTGAGATTTGAGATTTTTTGTTTATTTTTATTGTTGTGTGTTGACAGTTGAATTTTGTCAATAGAATTATGCCGGATTACCTCTTGGTATTTTATTGGGTTACTGGCATGAAAAAGTTATATATTTTGGGTAAATACTGCTAAATTGCTTTTTGTGAAATGGTAATTTAAGAAGTGCGGAAGTGGTGCTTGAATGAATGTAAAGGACACGCAAATTTTATAGTGGTTCACTATGTTAATCAAGAGCTACATTCACTGTATATTGTATATCCTTTTTTCTCTATTGTTATTACATAAAAAAAAGATCCTCTCATCCTTTGGGGTTCTGCCCCTTTTATAGCCCAACGATTACTTCGTGGGCGGTTCTTCCTCGTATGCTTATCCACTCGAGTGGCCTACTACTCTATGGGTTGGGTCCAGATCATAGCCTGTCAACACCTTTTGCACTGTTCGCCCATCCAATTTGTCCCCTATTATGGCTCTGCAGATCCTGTAATCCTCCACCGTCCATTACAGGCGGTTTTAGGAACTCATAATTAATCCATGTGCCACTGACGTCTTTTGAATCAGACGCAACCTGCCTGTGTCAGGGATCTTTATTGGAGCACTCCGTAACCCGTTTCTGCCCTCGACGTCTACACTAGTAAACTAGGCTCTTCGTTCGGCTGACTCTTGTGGCGCTTCCAATGCGCAAGTCATGCAAGCCTCGACGGTCTTGAGTGGACATCGGTCTAAGGATTTGTCCGTACACAGTACGCTTAGCCTTTCCAATCATTCATGAGGAAAATAAAACCCAGACGTCGACTGCTATCTGACGTGGTAAACATAAAGCCACGTTGAGCGCTATCACCGTCTAACGTGTCAGTGCACATTTTCTCATATAACATTGTGATTTTTGTAATCTTCTGAAATATCAGTTTTTTGTGGATTTTGTGTTATTTCATGATTTTTGGTTGTATTTTTACTGTGATTTGGGAACGAGAACCATGGAGTTTATGCTTGAGTGTTTTATTTTGTACTTATTTTGTTTTTCTTTTGCTGAGAAATGACGTAATCTGGACAATGTACATTTTTTTTTTTTTTTTTTGCTGTGAATGATGTGGTACAGTTTTTGATTTTGAGGTTGATTGTTCGTTGTGTTTTTTTACCTGAAAATACTATAATAGTAATAAATTTGAACCCAGTAATTATTGTATTTTTTAAAAACATTTTATTAATTACAAATTTAAATGTCAATAAATATTGTATTTACTTGTAAATATTTTAAAAGTTCAAATCTGGTAAATACTATATTTATGAGTAAATACATTAATTATTACAATTTTAAATATAATAAATACGATATTTACTAGTAATATGCATTGATAATTACAATTTTGATTATGGTAAATACTATATTTACTAATAAATACAGTATTAAACGGCCGCGAGAGTTGGTTGCCAGATTTTCGGATAAATATGATATTTATTAGTAAATATGACATATACTAGTAAATACGTATTACCAGTAAATACAGTGTTTTATGGTCACCGGAGTAGACGGTCAAATTTTTAATAAATATGATATTTACTAGTAAATACAACATTTACTGGCCAATATGGTATCTATCGATAAATACAGTGTTAATTAGTCACCGGAGTCAGTGGCTGAATTTTTGGATAAATATGATATTTACTAGTAAATACAGTGTTAAACAGTTGTCGGAGTCAGTGACCGGACTTTTGGATAAATAGGATAATTAGTAGTAAATACCCGGTAAATATAGTGTTAAACGGTCGTCAAAAAAATGGTCAGTCGAATGTTTGGATAATATGATATTTACTAGTAAGTATGATATTTATTGGTAAATACAATATTTACCTGTAAATATAGTGTTAAACGGTCACCAGAATCGGTGGTCAACTTTTCAGATAAATATGGTATTTACTAGTAAATACGATAATAAATGGTAAATACAATATTTACTGGTATCTACAGTGTTAAACGGTCACCGAAAAAATAGTCGTCAAAAAATAGTCATCGCTCGTCGAAAAGAGAAGCCGGTCATCGGAATTGATCACCGGAGCCAGCTATCGGCTGCCGTTCCCGATCATGGTAGACTTGACTATGATCTACCTATTATAAAAAAATATGTTATAATTTACTATCGTTTTAAAAAATAGATGTTTTGGAGGGAGGAGTGAAGTAAAAAAAGGAGATTTAAGAGTATTTTTAAATTTTTAATAATATTTAAAACATTATGTTATAATTTATTATTTTTAAAAAATATTTTATAATTTACTAATCACTCTACTAATTATGCTATTTCTCTCTTTTTTTTTTTACTGTTATTGTCGTCTTCTTGGGTTGGTGTCCATTTTTTTTAAGGGATAAGGAGATGATTGTCGTTTTCCCATTTCTAACTCGAGGTCTAACAGTGATGGGCCGGGCTAAGCCCAAAGTCGAACAAATTCACGTTGGGCTTCGTCATCGTCATCTGTAGTCTCTGTTTGGTTTGGTCTTGCAGGTTTCTCAGACGTTCGATCTCGTCGATCGCTCCCACAACCACAAGTGTACATCATCAGCGAGTTAGTCAGGGCACTGGGCACATACATTGATCTGCTCCTTCAATCAATATTTCGAATTTCTCTCTCTCTCTCTCTCTCTGATTATAAACTTGGTAGAAAAATTATTTGTGGGTTTTTTCTCTTTGGAGGAGGGGGTTTAAAATGGCGTCTGGCAAAGAAAGTGATGAATCCGCAGATTCTCCATCATCGTAAGAACGGACTGCTCTCTCTCTCTCTCTCTCTCTCTCTCTCTCTCTCTCTCTCTCTCTCTATGTTTCTTATTCCTTATTTTTATATTTTTTTCGTACGCCCTCTGTTTGGGGGCTGAGAAAATGTAGGAAAACGAAAGGTTCGAAAGATGGTATTTATAGTAGAAATACTTGATATCTCAGTGTTATGCTGCTTTCTCTATTCTTTTTCGATTCTTTAATTACATTTCATTTTGCAAAATTTTGTCGGAATCCAAATCCAGACTATTGAGAGAACTCGTGGAAGAAGGAAGGCTTAAAAGTGTTTTTCCTCAAATTGATTTTAAGAATGACTGAAAGGTTTTGTGAACGAATGATTTGCAGGCCAAAGAACATATACAAGGATCCAGATGATGGACGCCAACGGTTCTTGCTTGAATTGGAGTTCGTTCAATGCCTTGCTAATCCCACATACATCCACTGTAGGTTCTTTCTTGTTTCAATTCCTTAAGATTCTATGAATTCTGTATGTTAAATGATGTTTATGTGAATATTAGTTAAGTCATTTGCTTTTTTCAATTGAATAATTTAACCTCGTTTGTTTTGCTTGTTTGGGTTGAGAGCTCAAGTGAAAAAGTGAATTCATGTGAGAGGAAATACTGCAGCATAAAAAGTTGAATTTGAATTTTTGTGAGAGAAAACATTGTAGTAGAAAGTTGAGTTATGATTCGAACTAGTGAAACGAAGTAATGAACGGGGCAAGATTATCCTCTACAGGCAATGATTATGATCTCTCTCTCTCCTTTTTTTTTTTTTTTCCTTTTGTTATGTGGCACATCCTTTCTTATCAAAAAAAAAAAAAAAATGTGGCACGTCCTTGTATGCTGATGGTTTGAATAGAATCGGCTATAAAAACTATTGGTCTTAAATTAATACATGATAATGGCATGTATTGTGGATTCGAATGCTTGGGGCACCAGTGGTGCCCACCACTACAACTAATAGAATTTGAGCCTTAGAGGTGTGGCTCATACAATAGGACCTACTAGTGTATGGCGTTAAACACCACTGTTACATAGATTAAGGCCTGCAATTGATATGAGAGTGTACTATTGGATAATAGTATGAAAGGGTTAAGGCCTAATATTGGCAATCAATTATCACTCTTTTTTGCGCTAGTTTTTACATTGTTCTTTCGTTTTGCACACACAGATTTGGCTCAGAATAGATATTTTGAGGATGAAGCTTTCATTGGCTACTTGAAGTACCTGCAGTATTGGCAACAGCCTGAGTACATAAAGTTTATAATGTGAGCTTATGCGTTGAACTCTTGTCAGCTAATGATTTAATGTTAATTGTTAAAGTTAAAAGAAGGCTAGTTTTTCTCAATTGTCTGTTTTTCAACTATCCCTTTTCCGTTTCTTGAATTTTTTTTCCATCAATTTCCGTTATTTTTAGGTATCCTCATTCCCTATTTTTCCTTGAGCTGCTCCAAAATGCAAACTTCCGTCATGCAATGGCACATCCTGGCAACAAGGTAAATTTCTAGTGATTCTATTTCCTTTCAATTGCTATTCAATGTTGCTCATCTAGTGATTGGACCGTTGGATAAACAGTTGAAAATTTTAAAATTGTTGTAGCCTGTGGAAGTTGTATTTCTTTGTAGCTTATTTTGTAACAACACTCTTTAGTTTTCTTTCTTTAATAGATCTGAAATTATTTGTACTTCTTGTAAACCTTAGGAATTGGCACATAGACAACAATTCTATTATTGGAAGAACTACAGAAACAACCGATTAAAACACATATTACCAAGACCACTTCCTGAACCTCCTGTCGCGCCACCAGCTCCTGCTCCACCTCAGCAACCCATGCCGCCTGTGACTGCCCCGACTATTGCAATGCCTGCAGCTCCTGCTCCTGTTCTTTCTCCCATGCAATATGTGAACCCCCAGGGATCTTCTCTTGCAAAAACTGATATGAGGAATAGTGCGGTTGATCGAAGAAAGAGAAAGTATGTGCATTTAATTAAGGATTCAATTCTTTGTGGTTGTAGAATCATATATTGTTGGCAGCTATTGCATAAAAGAAAAAAATGTGCGGAAAAAAAAAAAAAAACATGTTGGCAAGTATTTTGAGGGACATGTTCTTTAATTGCTACAGGAAAGAAGGTTGAGCTGACCTATCAAGTATCAACACTAGAAGACTGTGGATGAGGTAATTCATACTTTCGTTAAATATATTAAAGAAAATTGTGGAGTGGGGAATGTGGAAAGCTCAAGTGAAAGCTGTGATCAGGAATTATCTGGCAAATGGCTTGCCTGGGTGCTGAGCCTCGTCTCAGAGACGCTTTTACTAAAAATCCTGTTTTCCTGTTCTGCAAGGTGAGATGTGACTCAAAATTGGAAGTTGCGATGGAAGTGTAAGGGCCCTTTGATTTGTATAGGCCTGCACATCTGGAAATTGTAGTTGTTATGTGATGCAGAATCCCCAAATAGATACCATAATGTTTTCTGCTTATAGTTTTATTTCGTACTTTCCTGCTTAGCCATCATACGTGCATAAACAACATTCTGCCTTTAATGATAGTGAAATCCTGTAGTTGTTCTCTTTCATGTGTAGAATCATTTAAGTTTCACTGGAGTATCATCATTTTGACCCCAAATTTTTTTAACTTGGTCGAAGTTTTTTGCCATCTTTTTGAAAAGCTTTTCCGTATTGGACTGTAGGGAAATCTTGGTTCAAATGGGACTGAGGCCTCTTCAAATTGAGAGGATGATGACATTTCGATAAGGAACTTAAAGACACTAAAAAGGACGTGTTGAAGGTCAGTACAATGTCAAGAACTTGTGGATTTTTGCCAGTTCCTTTTGTATTTAATCACATGCTTGTTTTAGACCTAATTATAGTAGGAAGAGAGCTTTGGAATACAAATATACAATTTTATGCCCTGTAGTTCTACACTCTCACCAATTTCTCTCTCTCTCTCTCTCACTCACGCACACATGTTTTTTTTTTTTTGTTTAATGTGTCTAAGTCAGGCACGGAAGGCCTTTTATATTCTATTTAAATCCAAGAGAGTTCATCATTCAATTGATCAACTCATAAGAAAAACATTAAAGAGACTCAAAGAAGTGAGAAATCGAGAAGATAATGTAGAATATGAATCATGTTTCTCAGGCCTTTTTTAGAATTGGATATTTCAACAAGGGTCTTGTCAATTTAAGCATTTGCATATGAAGAAACTACATGGATACCACCATTTTGGCCAGTACTAATGACATGGTTAGAATTAGCTGGCTTAAGATTGAATTCAAATTCACATTTCTCCTTTCAAAATTTAGTTGTAATTTCTGTTTATTATTTCTATTTGACTGAGGTTGTGTATGGGAAAAGAGAAAGAAAATCAGAAGGAAAGAAAGATGTAAAATCCAAGTACGAATTCTCTACTTGGTATTGAATTTCCTCATATATTCATTTCTATCGGAAGATTAAAATTAAGGTTTATTGAAGGATTTTCCCTCTTACTAAACAACTATAAGTTCCAAAATCTTTTCACTAATCTCCTCATCTTTCTTTGTCCACTTTTCCCTCCTATCAAACAAGCTCTAAAATAATTTGATCAATAATTGTTCTCAATAGCATAGTTCCTTAGGTGCAATATAAAAAAGGTACTATTAGACCTCGTTTATTTAATCAATTCGAGTTTAGAATTTGAGTTTTGTTACAGTAAAAAGCTCTCAGAAACAGTCACATTTAACTTTTTTTCTACAGTAAAAAGTTCTCACATAAAATCATATTTCAATTCGAATTAAAAACTCGAATCAATGAATTAAACGAGCCATAATATGACTTGCACTTTCACGTTTTTTCTGATATAAACCTTTTTTCCCCCTTTCCTTGCGTCCCGTGGTGACCTTGGTATTAGACTAAAAATTTTATTAAAACAGATCACGATCTAATTTTCTTTGCCCAAATAAAAAAATGAGTAGATGTTCTGGAAAAAAAAAAAAATGTTTGTGCAGATATATAAGGCTGTACAGACTCGAACCCGTCTTTGTCTTTATTTAATTTTCTTTTTCCCAAATGAAACAAACTCTTATTTAACTGTTATTTAGACTAAATTTAGGTCCTTATTGATAAGGTTGTTAGGTCTGCCTTGGTTATTGACAACTCGCCATCTCACATCTCGCCCGCCCAGCTCTGAATCTGACTAATGTCCACGTTTGAAAATTGTGTATATATTATTATATTTTGCTGTAATAAAAATAAATATATTATTAAAAGCGAAAAAAGAAAAAAGTGTGTCATCTAAAAGAGAATGTGTTAAAAATTGAAGAAAATAGCGAAGACTTAACTGTTGAATCTCATCTATCCACGTGACAAGAACGCGGCGAAACGATTGGGAATTCAATTTTGGTCGGTATAATAATAAGACTATAAGTTGTCATCGTTAAAAAAAAAAAGGTACCCTTTCCTACCAATATGGAATTGTAGGAACTCATTATTCATTAATAACCCCCCCAAAAAAAAAAGTGATTATATAATTGTAAGGGTAAGTTGTAAATAATAATTGCGAGAAAAAGAAATCCAAGTTTCCAACGTGAACCCTATTTTTCTGCGATGCTAATAGTCAAACTAAACGGGTCTTGACTCTTGACTGGTATTAAGTTTTGTTTTGGGTATCGACCATATTACCCTCACACGTTACCCTTTCATTGTTCTCAAAGATCATATACACTTGGATGTATCATTACATGCAATGAGGGTGTAACATATTAGGATGGCTTTAGAATAGTTCCTATGGATATATGGCACAAAATATGAGTTTCTAGCTTTTCCAAATAACATACAAATACAAACTTGTAGTTCGAAGATATCAATCTGTTATTTTTTTCTTTTCAACTTAGAAAATTTCTCTTGCAATCTAACAATGTCCCCTGAAAAAATAGAGCAAAATTAAAGTCAAAGTTGGGTTGAAATTGTTGCGGGCATAAATTTTGAAACTTGCAACATGAAACTCTGAACAAAATCATTACAAGGTACCAACTAGGCATCATAGATATGTAAGGATTTCCACAAGCTTAGTCTCCTTTCATTTTTGTCCTTGTACGGTCTATCCCTGAAAAGTAAGAGTTTAGGACACATTAATGTACCATCTCACTCATTTTCATCATTTTTTCCCCTTATTGTACGATTTCAATAATTCCATGCAATTGGGCGGAAGATGATCCCTGAAAAATAAGAGTTTAGGACACATTAATGTACCATCTCACTCATTTTCAGAATTTTTTTTTGCCCCTTAGTGTACGATTTCAGTAATTCCATGCAATTGGGCGGAAGATGATTCTTTGCGTTTGGTACGAGAGTCTAGAATCGGAACCGTAATTTTAGTTTAAACTTTTATTTATTTGTCAAAAGTAAAAAAAAAAGTTTTAAAAATTAGTGTTTAATTTAGATAATTTTAGTTTAAAGTTTAAATTTTAATGTGATATTTTAAATTAGAATCACTTTAAAAAATAAAATCATCTCTCTTCTTAAATTTTAAATAATTTAAACATCTAGTTCTGATTCCAATTTCAAAATTATAATTTGAATCTTAAATTAAAATCATAAATTCTAATTCTAATTCTAAAATTAAAATTGTCATGATTTAAACTCTCATACTAAACGTAACATAATGATTTTAATTGTATCAATGAATTAATCGTTTTCCATACCCAAAAAAAAAAAAAAAAAAATTAGTACCGTTTATTAAGGAAAAAAAATAAAAAGAAGGTTGTACCTTTCTTGGCCTGCTGGCGTAGCAGTGCAATCCACATTCCACAAGAACGGCTCAAATTCTCTACTTATCTTCTCAGGTGAAGATTACTGTCACTAACAAGGCTATTATGGTAATTTCGGTCCAATATAGTCGTTTTGGGCATGCCCAAATTGGAAACGAAACTTTTTTTTTCTTCTTTTTTCTTTTTCTTTTTTTTTTTTTTTCAAAAAAGAGTCTTATTAAAATCTCCAACCAAATTTCTAGCAAAAAAAAAATCTCCAACCAAATTGACAAATTTATTACAATTACCTTTGTTTTAATTATTTTTTAATTACCGGGTGAGTTTCCCTCTCTGTTTCCCAAGACTCCATGAAAGCACACCTTCCCTTATTGCTATATATATATATACGCATTATATAAGCATGTATAGCTTCACTCAACACATCTCACAAACCAACCTTTCTTTCAAAACCCACATTCATAATTTCCTTTTCTTTCTTCACTTACTCGATTATTATTGTATTGTTCTTCGCTTGGAAAGTTTCTTTCTTTTTTCTTTTCCCTTTTTTTTCCGTCGCAATTATTTCTTCGTGATCGATCAGCCATGAACGCCCTCGCCGCAACAAGCCGCAATTTCCGCAAAGCGGCGCGTCTTCTCGGTCTTGACTCCAAGATTGAGAAGTCTCTCTTGATCCCCTTTAGAGAGATCAAGGTTTTTTGCTTTTCATCACCTTTTTCCGTTTGTTTCTCGAGAAAGCGTGTCGTTTCTTTTTCTTTACTTTTTTTTTGCCCACCCGGATCAGGTGGAGTGCACGATTCCTAAGGACGATGGAAGCTTGGTGTCGTACGTTGGATTCAGAGTGCAACACGACAATGCACGTGGACCAATGAAAGGAGGGATCAGATATCATCCTGAGGTGATTCTTTTTTTTTTTTTTTCTGTTCAATATATATATTTTTGATAATTTTTCTGTTATATATTTGTCTCACTTGTTTGAAAGTGCCACTTGTTTGTGGGTTTTTGCCTTCTGGGATTCTGTTCATGATTTTTGTCTTTCTCTCGTCTGAAGATTCCGCTGGCCTTTTGCTTTTGGCTTTTGGGTTTTTGGGTAATTTACAATTGATTAATTTGACTATCCTTTTTCTGTTATAACGGCTTTTATTGATCTTAATATATTTCATTAAAGGGCATGTAGGGGTTTCCCATAAACCAGTTATCTAAAGTTCCATTCAATTAGAAAGTGTTTTTTTTTTTTTTTTTTTTTTTAACTTGAGAATGAGAGGATTAGAATTCTACAGTTTACACTTTGAGTAGAGTCGGGTGCGGAATGGACGCTACGCTAGGCTTGTAATCACAATCAATAAGTTAACGAAGCTAAAACATTAGGAAAAAGGAGTTGACTTTTAATGAAATTGTTATATCATCTTGAGAAAACATTTGTGTTTGTGCAAGCTCAGTTTCTGTCAGAGAAAATTTGAGGATAAACTACTTCACTTTTTTTTTTCCTTCAGAAACTACAAGAGTGAATCTATTGGCTTGTACTGTATATGAAGTGGAGTTTATTTTGTATATTGAAATGTTGTTGTAACTTGTCATTGAAGGTTGACCCAGATGAAGTAAATGCATTGGCTCAACTTATGACTTGGAAGACTGCTGTGGCAGACATTCCTTATGGTGGAGCGAAAGGTGGAATTGGGTGCAATCCTGGGGAGTTAAGTACGAGTGAATTGGAGCGTCTCACCCGTGTCTTTACACAAAAAATCCATGACCTCATTGGTATTCACACTGATGTCCCAGCACCAGATATGGGAACCAATGCCCAGGTTTGATGACATTCATCTTTCATACTGTAATTTGGAGATGTAGTAGGGCATGAGAAAGTATCCTATTAGTAGAACACGACTTTTAACCATCAGTTACCTCATAATCTTATAATATTTAAAAGGTAATTTTGGGAACCTAATGAGAATTTAGCGGTTAAAAACTGTCCTACAGGTAGGGTATTTTCTTCATATCCTACTAAATAATTCTCCATTTGCTTGAAAGGGCGTTAAAGAAAATCTCTATTGATGTGCAAACTTTTTTTTTTTTTTTTCTCCAAGACAATGGCATGGATTTTGGACGAGTACTCTAAATTTCATGGTCACTCACCTGCAGTTGTGACAGGAAAGCCTATTGTAAGTGCTAGACACTGAAAAAGATATCCTGTATTCATCGAAACCCTGACAATTCTCCTCTCTGATTCGCTTTTTTTAATTGATTTTAGGACCTTGGAGGATCGCTTGGTAGGGAGGCTGCAACTGGGCGCGGTGTTGTTTTCGCATCAGAAGCTTTACTTGCTGAACATGGGAAATCAGTCAATGGTTTGACGTTTGTTATTCAGGTACATTGACGTAACATCAACAACTAAAGACTTGTTACTTTGTCTTCTTTGTCAAAATACTTGGTGATTATGTCAAAAGATGTTCTCTTATTAGTTTTACTTTCTTTAGGGGTTTGGAAATGTGGGATCTTGGGCAGCCAAGCTCATTCATGAGAGAGGTGGCAAGATTATTGCCATAAGTGACATCAGTGGGGCAATTAATAACCCAAATGGCATTGATATACCAGAGTTGCTGAAGCACAAAGCATGTGGCGGAAGCTTACTAAATTTCGCAGGTGGAAATGCCATGGATCCAAATGAACTGCTTGTTCACGAATGCGATGTTCTCATCCCTTGTGCTTTGGGAGGAGTTCTGAACAAGTACCACCCTTTCCTTAACCTGTTGTTTAACCAATTCTGTTTCTTAACCGTTGTTGGTTAGATTTAATTGGCAATCGTATTCTAGAAATTAATTAAGTTTTATTTATATTCTTTACTTCTCCTTTTGAAGGGAAAATGCCGCAAGTGTTAAGGCCAAATTCATAGTAGAGGCAGCAAACCATCCAACCGATCCAGAAGCTGATGAGGTATTATATCATATTTTTTCTCTCTGGACTTCTATTTAAGAAAGGTTCAACTCTGATGGACGAATTTAATTGCTGCAGATTCTATCTAAAAAAGGAGTTATCATACTTCCTGACATATATGCAAATGCTGGCGGTGTGACTGTTAGCTACTTTGAGTGGGTTCAGGTAAACAGGAGGAAAAGGACAAACTTGTTCTCCTATTGATATATATATATATATATATATATATATTAATTTGTATAGACTATAAAAAGCGCATAAAAAAGTTGTTAACACATTTAATCTTTTCAGAATATTCAAGGTTTCATGTGGGATGAAGATAAGGTAAATAGTGAGCTTAAGAAATACATGACCAGAGCTTTTCACAACATCAAGAACATGTGCAAGACGCACGATTGTAATCTCAGAATGGGAGCCTTCACTTTGGGCGTAAACCGGGTTGCTCGCGCCACTGTTCTAAGGGGATGGGAAGCGTGAAGAGCTTCAATCAACATGTTGCATTTCTTGTATTATTGTTGTCTTCAGATACATGTATTGTTTACTGCCGAACAAAGCGGCTTAGAAGCAATTTTTACTTTCCCTTCAAAAGTGTCAACTGAGTCAGTTTTGGGCAGTTTACTAATTTAAACAGTTTATCAGAAAATAAATGTTTTTCCTATCAGTTATGTTGTAATCCTTAGTACCATTGTTTTCAATTGAAGAATCATTATTTCTAAGAAGTTTTTATCCTTGCTTAATCCTCTGGTTTTGTTTTTCGGGATGATTTGTTAGTGATAATACATGTTGATTGAATTAAACACAGTTTTTTACAAGATTATAGGAACTGCCACATGTGACTGCAAACAATAATTCAACTCCTGTGAGACCAAAATATTTAAAGGAGTAGATAGGGATAACAGAAAGCTTGCCCATATCTCTACACGTGAGAAGAAAGATAAGTTATTTTAACCTGAAGAGTATTATGGGCTTGTTCTGCCACTTTTTATCCATAAGCTTATTCTCCACAAGGAGGAAGAAATTATAGAAAAACCAAAGGAAAAAAAGAAAGAAGAGAAATTATCTTGGAAGAGTTATGGCTTCCATTGCCATCACTGCTTCATTGCAAAGAGCATGCAGCTCAAATCACATTGCTAAGAAGCAGCAGCCTCAACCGAAACTCGCTCGATCCTTAGGTACGAAGCAGGCTACTACTAATTTTGTCACTCTCGATGTGGAAGGCCAAACAAGTTTGGGGGTAGCTGAAAAAGTACAAAACACTCCTGCTTCACACGTTGAAAAACCGGACAATGCTGAAAACAAAGCCGAAGATGGCGGGGAAACAGAAGCTTCTGTCGCGAAATTCACCGACGAGCGCTGGAAGAACGGGACATGGGATTTGAACAAGTTTGTCGAGGATGGAAAGATGGATTGGGATGGTCTCATTGTAGCAGGTTCTACCTAATCTATTACTGTCAGATGTTTTTAGTTTCTATCCTAAAGCGCATTATACGTAATGACATGTGTTAGAATTAGCACAAGAACTCTTTGGTGTGATTATCTATGTACATTGCAGAAGCAAGAAGAAGGAAGTTTCTAGAACTACATCCAGAGGCAGCTACAAACCAAGATCCAGTTCTCTTTAGGAGCTCAATCATACCTTGGTGGGCATGGCTAAAAAGATCCCATCTCCCAGAGGCCGAGCTTCTCAATGGTTAAAAGAACTCGAAATTCAAAAAAACACTTGTCCAAATTCTGAGAATCATGATATGATTCTTTTCACATGTGCCTCTCAAATTTGCGGTCATTTCCACTTCAATGCTGAAATTTAAAAATTCACACTTTGTTCTCCAGAGTTTTAAATTAATCTCACGTAATACTTTTGATTAGAATTTATGTTAAAAACATAAGGAAAAAGAGGGAGTATTAGAATTTATGTTAAAAACATAAGGAAAAAGAGGGGGTTAAGGGATATTCCAATAGTAAGATTAAATGAGACTAATTTAAATTAAAAAAAAAAGTGTTTTTAAAATTGAGAAGGTAAAGTAGAAAAACTAGAGGGTTGAGAAGTGAGTTGATCTTTATAATTGTGATTCTCTATGTCTAACAAAGTATAAACGACATCTTACAGGTAGAGCTGCAATGGTTGGCTTCTTCATGGCGTATGTGGTGGATGCCTTGACAGGGCTTGATGTCGTCGGACAAACCGGCAGTTTCATATGCAAGGCAGCGGTGTTTGCGACTGTCGTTGGAGTAATTCTCTTTAGGAGAACCCAAGATTTTGACAACCTTAAGAAGCTAGCCGATGAAGCGACTTTGTATGACAAGCAATGACAATCTTCTTGGCAAGACCAAAAAGACAAGTTTTAGCTTTCTTGTGATTTCTTGTCCTCTTAAGATCATTTGAGAGGTTCTTTTTTATTTTTATTTTTATTTTTATTTTTTATTTTTGCATGTTACATGAAATTGTGTGTTGGATTGGACCATCTTGGCTTTAATGGAGCAAAGCCTTGCACATTTTGTTATCTCTGTGCTAGTCATGCTAATTATTATCCGATTTAATTTGGTAGATGTGAGTTAAATGTGTTTGTAAACAAGAATCTACAAATTTGCAAATAAGAATGCTATAGGTTGTATGTATGTTTAATAGAATTGAAAATAATCTAAAACCAGATTATTTGAATAAGGTATTGGTTCCAATTAATCCGGACGCAATGAACCAATTTTAATTTATCTATTTTACGCCATTTTCTCTTAAAAAAAGCTATAATTCTAAAAGTAAAATATATATATATATATATATATATATATGTATAGACACACACACACTAGTAGTCGGCAAAAATGCTCAATTCCCAACATTCTTTTGCTTTTATTTATATTTATTTCTTTCAGCAGTTGTTGTCAAAACTCCAACGACACTAGTTTCTTGCCTTTGACGTAGTGATGTCAAACGTGTCGTGCCGGACTGGCACAGTACATCTAACCCCAGGCCCGTGACGGGTTTGGGCCGGACTTGACACGGCTTGCACATTGCAGGGCCGTGCCTGGGCCGGGCCTGAGGAGAAAAACTCAGGCCCGCGGACCTAGTCCATAAGGGCCAGGGCCGGGCCTGGGCCCAGGCCCTTGTAATTTTTTTTAAAAACTTTAATTAAAAAAAAGAAAATATATCAAATGCTCACAAAAAATGTGATTTTATTGAATTGAGATAATACGAATAAGTACACATAAATGATTGCCTCGTTAAAAATCTTGTCAAGTAAAACCCGTAGGGAGATCAGGACAAAACCTTAGCGTAGGAAAAAAGAGTGCAGTAGGAATAGTAAATTACAAACCTAAATGCTTCCAGAAGATTATGTTATTTCTAAGTTAGAACAATAGTCTTGCATTGAATCATCCGTGTATTGTTGTTTTCGTCTTCTAGCATCTTCCCAGTCTTTAACGCACATTAGCCCCTCCAAGATATCTGGATGCATTCTGTTTCTCTTCTCATCAAGAATTTGGTTACTTGCACTAAATGCTTGCTCCGATGCTACCGTTGACATTGGAGTTGTAAGAATGTCACGAGCTATTACGGACAGTGTTGGAAAATGATCGGTCTTGCTCTTCCACCACTGTAAGATGTCTAGTTTATCGTCATTGATTACAAAATTTACTTCAAAATATTTTACTAGTTCGGTAGACGCTTGTGTTGATGACGATCCTACCATTTTCTCTTTCTTCTTTAAGAAACTCCATGACGATCCTTTAGGTCCCAAACTGCTAGTTGACATCGAAGTTTTCTGTTCTTTTTGACATGTGTTGCATTTTACTTCATACAAACTAAATACCTTTTTTAACATTTTCTTAGCGTCAGTAATAGTTAGTTGCATATCAATTCCTAAATTTTCTATTGTAGCAGTCATTAATGATTCAGTCCTATATACTCCGCACCTAGGATCTAAAATGGTTGCCAATGCATATAACATAGGACAACCTGACCAATAACTTTTAAATTTAGCTTCCATTAACTTAACTATGTCTCTAAAAAGTTTTGTATCCCTATAATAAGAAAATGTTTCTGAAATATTAAATAGTTAATATAAAGCTAAATGTGTGGTAGGATAATAAACTCCAGAAAGTAATTCAGTAGCATTGTAAATTCTAGAAATTTAAACAAACACTCACCAATCTGCCAATCTGTATAAAAAATCAGAAGTTGATCGTTCTTACTGTTTACATACATTGTGATGAGCTCCGAATACGGGAGTATAGCCTTCAACATTAAATATGTGGAATTTCACCTATGTCTCACTTCAATGGGGAACTTTCTTGGGTGCATCTGACTGTTCTTGCAATATTGTTTGAATTCTTGGAGCTGAGCTTCAGAATTAGATATAAAGGATAAAGATTCTCTAATATTTGTTAGATTAGCTGAAATATGTTCAATTCCTGCATGAACTACTAAATTGATTATGTGATGAAATTCCACCCCCCCCCCCCCCCCCCCCCCCAAACGCTAGGTTCAAACTACGTTTAAACATGTCAATTGCAGCCGTGTTAGCTGACGCATTATCAAAAGTAATAGCTAAAACTTTATCTTCTATCCTATAAAACTCAAAAATTTCCATTATTGTACTAAAAATAGCTGATGCGTTCTGAGGATATGGACATAAACGAAAACATATTATTCTTTTTTGTAAAACCCATTCGTTATCAACATAGTGCGTCGTGACGCATAAATATCCAGTTTTATTGCACCCATCCCATAGATCAGAAGTACAAGATACAGTAGTATTAAAAGTCCTAAAATTATCAACAAGAGATTGTCTCATTGTATAAAATACTTTCATGCAATCAGAACGAGTTGTGTTTCTACTTACCCGTTTAAATTGTGGGCATAAGGCCGTCTGTATGAATTCTTTGAACAACACATCATCAGCAAAATAAAGAGGCAATTCTGCACTAGCTAAAAATTTAGCTAGTGCCTCACGAGCACGTTGTGCATCATATGTAAAATTTTGCAACCCCTGTGATGTGAGTGATAATGTTGGTTAGCGGGAGTCCATACTTACACCTTGGTGCAACGGTAGACATACTTTCCAATGTCTATCGAGATGACCAGTACCCCCACCCTTTTTATTAGAAAGTGTTTTTTACAATACTGACATACCGCACGAATATCTATTTCACCTGTTTTTAGATTTGGTCGGGCCTCCTCTGTAAAATGCTGTCATGCAGGAGAAGTTTGCGGTCTTTTTCCCCTTGTGCGTTCTCCAACTTCCTTGTTATGCTCTGAAGCATTATCTACCGGAGCAGTTTCTGGTTCAGTGGGGGTGGGGTTGGGAGGCATTATTTCATCCTGGAAAAATGGCTCATCACCAAGCTCAGGAAGAGCAGTTAAAATCAGAGAAGTTTGATGCTGCCATTTTTTAGAAATTGATTGAACTTAAACTTTGTAAATGAAAGAACAAGAAAATGAGTGAACACAAGAAAAAAGCTTAGAATCAAAATCAAAGAGACAAGATGAGAGATAGAATGAGAGTGAGATGAGAAGTTGAAAGTGAATTATTGTGTGAGATTTAGGGTGGAATTAAGGGGTATTATAGGGGTTTTTTGTGGGTTTTCGGATTGTGACTGTTGGGCCCTTCGCGGGCCCAACGATCATAATCCGAACGGGCTGCGGGCTGTTTCGCGGGCCTGGGTCGGGCCGAACAAAGGCCGATTCTGAGCTTGGGCTTGGGCCGGGCCACGTGCCTTCACGGGCTAGGGCCGGGCTTAGGCCACGGGTTGAGAAGCTGAGGCCCAGCCCTAGCCCATCTAACGTGCCGGGCCAGCACGGCTCGTAACAGTACCGTACCGGGCCGTGCCAAATCTGACACTGTTACGGGCTGTCCATGGACGACCCGGCCCATTTGACAACCCCACCTTGACGTTGTGACGACCATGCTGAGTTGACCGTCACTGTAACTAACTTTAACATATACTTTCTGAAACTCCCAAAATTTAAGAGATTTTTTTTAAATGCTACCTAGAATGCTGCAACATTTTTGTAAAAAAATGTTGTATGAATGCTGTATCATTTTATTTTTAAAATGTTATATAGAATGTTGTAGTATTTTCTTTAAAATGTTGTATAGAATGTTGTAGCATTCTGAGCATAAGTTTCTTTCTCTTAAAGAACTATATCATTCTTTTAAAAACTTATTGTAACGACATAAATTCTGGTTTCCACTTTTTGAACATATCAAAGTGTTTATACTTCAAAAAAAATTCTTTTCTAAAGCATGAATTTACACATAGTTATATTTTTACTTTTCAAAATCCAGCTAGCTTACACAAACTTAACAATCATACTGCAAACTTTCAAAACACAAGTTCATAGACATATTCAACAAAAATCTTTTTAAAACCTTAAACTGTTGCGGAAATAATTGCGTGCGGTATCCATTTCCCAACCTCCACTCCGCTTGTCCGCTGCCTCGCCATTAGTCCATCAAACATTATGTGCAAGTTGCTTACCTACAATATAAATACTCTGAAATTAGCTTTCGCTCAGCAAGTAGGAACTATTACTCGCAAAATAACTGAAAGTTTACATGAAAGATATGCATGAGCTGCTTATGCTGATTTATTATGTCTTATCAAAGCTTTATTGTCTGTGTTTTACTATTTGAACTTATCTTACTTACTGATGGGCCCGAGTGCTCGTACCACTTGCGCGCAATCATCAGGACATGAGGGTTTGCAAGGTCCCCAATGACACCGTGATTATAAATTGAACTGAATGCCTCCATCTCAGAGGACTTTATAATTTTTTTTTTCTTCTCCCTTGCGGAGGCTAAGTTACCTCCCTCTCAGAGGCTGGTACGGCACTCAACTAAGATTATTCTTATAAGTTCCTCTTAACTTATTAATGTGTATGCAATATGACATAGCATAACATACTATAACATGGAATGTACTCAAACATATATAATTTATGTGCACTGCTTAAGTGTATGTAGTATAACATAGCATAGCATACATAACATTAAATGTACTCAAACTCATATAAGTGTACTGTTCATTTTAAAATCTATTTATACTGTAGGCGAGATTTTTACTTACCTGTTTTAGGAAGTGGAATCCTCTATTCGCCAAAGAGTCTGTTCTCTTTCTTTCTTTCTGAGAATGAACACTCATTAAGTGTGTGAGATTAACTATCACTTGTTATTCTATTTTAGCAAGCTTATGACAAAATCTGATTATCTGCTTATGGCTTTCTTTCTCTTTCCTAGCTTAAGGATTGTAAAACCTTGTTTCTAATTTAAAGATTAGGTTTATTAAATCTTGATTACCTTACTTTTTAGTAGCAAAGTCTAAAATTGACATATTTTCCTGAGATTATACTTCGAGTTCTTCAGCGAACTCCTCTGTTCAACACCAAAACTGTTTTAACAGTTATGTAGTGTTTTTTTCGAAGAAAATACTTTAAAGCTTCTATTTAGAACTAAAACCAAGTTTAGCATCAAATTTTAGAACTAAAACTAGGTTTAACCTCAAATTCTCAAATTAAATTTTGGCGGAGTTTTGCCTTATTTTCTGTGTTTCCCGAGCTATCCTTAGCTCGATTTATCCATTACTTCATCTTCTAATTATAGCTAACAATCTTTCTCATACAATTTAATCAACTTAGGAACCATATTCTAGGGTTCCATCAAATTTCTCACAAGGATTTTCATATCTAAAAGTTGCTAGAAACATAACCTAACAACCACAAATTCATCCTTTAATCACTAAGCTTCCTATTCCTTCATCAATCGAAACTCAATCACCAACTTGGCAAACTTTCTCCATAATCTCTACCACATCTAAACCATTCAGACAAGGTAAGAAAAAGGAGAGGAAAAGTGAAATCTCACCTTAGAAGAATGAAGAACAAACTCCGAAATCACCAATCCTCAGTAGTTCAATCGATTCCCGCTTAAAACTTGTATGTCTTCACTTTTGGTAATTTTTTTCTTCTTCTCTCTCTTGGATGAACACCCACAGTTCTTGACATGAAAAATGAACATTTGAGGATACTTTTATCTCTTAAAAACCGGACTTAATAAAGTGAAAGGACTAAAATGTAATTTTAGCACTTTTGAGGGATTTTTTTGCAAAATTTCACCAAAATATCTCATTTCTTGGCTTCTTGTACAAGCTTGGTTGGCCACCTCACTAAGCAAGTGGCATGATCTCAGCTCTTCATCTAAAAAGTTACTTTAAATCTCAACCATTGATCATTTAATAATTATCCTATTTTGGTTCAGCTTAATTTCATGTCTAGTACGCGTTTTATCTGCATTTTTCAGACAGTTAGTCAACTTAGTCAACTTTGACAATTCTTGACTAACTTTTTGAGAGTGACATTTTGGTCGACTCTTGGTCAACAAACTTTGACTCGGTCCACTTAAATCAGTCGAAACCCCAATTTTCTCGGTTCGACCTTCTAGACCCATCTTTTATCCATTTTTCATTATGATAATTTCTAAAACCCTAGAATTGATGTTTTTCAATTCTTTTTCACTTCTTAACCTTAAGATTCATGTGTTGGCCCACTTGTGAGTTTAACACAGTATTCTGCACATCCTTTCTCATTGCAGTCTGAAAGTTAGTAACGGTATCTTACCTAACTTAAATTTCTAATTGCTTACTTGATGTCATCTTGCATACATAAGCAAGGTTTAGTGAACACTTAGTAATCACCCTTTAATGTTCTATTCTTATTACTGCATACTGACTTTTGAGAATTTACTTAGTTGACAGGAAATTTCAGTTCCCGACTTTGTCAACTTCTGCACTCATATTGCATATGAATTTCCTAACTGAAACACTACCCCTTTAATTCCTTCTTATCTGTTTGGAAATTAAGGGGTTTCTCTTTAAATGTCAGAGCGTTTCTCTATACGCTGCTGACATTATACTACACTAAGAGATTCCTAAGATTAAGAGTCTCCAATTGTATATACACTGAGAATTCTTCCGCCTTAATTGCAGAAAGAATTTATCAACTGAATTCACTGGTTCTTAAATATGAACTAATCATAAAACTTGCTACAGAATTTAAAAATATTGATATTAATTCCATAAATCTTTCAGCCATAAAATATGACAGTACATTACTGAAAAAAGTTCTTAACTTAAATAAATAAATTTACATTATTTAATTCTAAAATTTTCTTGGGTAATTAGAGACGTGGTGTCTACCTTGGGAAATGTGAAGAAATTTTCGATAACTGATTAATAAGACAACAAAAAAGGGTGACAACTATGATGAAATTTGAAGTTTGAACTAGACGTTCTCATGTAGGCTTAGTATTGACAGTATTAAATTTAATTAAAATTACATTATATTAAAAAAAGACAACAAAAAAGGGCAAAGCCAAATGACAACTATGATGAAATTTGAAGTTTGAACTAGACGTTCTCATGTAGGCTTAGTATTGACAGTATTAAATTTAATTAAAATTACATTATATTAAAAAATACATGAAAAAGATAGTTTTTAATTTAATTTTAACAGTTAAAAAATAAAAACTATTAGTAATTTATTTTGTCTGATTCTAAAATAATCTCTCAAATATTTTTTTTTTGAATTGAAATATCAAGTCTAAAACAGACCTATTTTTTGGTAAGTAAGGAGACGTTTGGTTCATGAATTAGAATCATGATATTAGAATTATTTTTGATTTACGTGTATTTTTTATGAGAGAAAATACTGTAGCGAATCATAAACCATGATTCGAATCGAGGTACGAATTTCTCAACCAAACAACCCCCAAGTCTAATCTACGGCCCCATCTTCACTGCTCACGAATGCTTTTTTCTTTTTTCTATTAATAAGAGAATTCCATTTTCACATATACAAAACAAAAAATGATACTCCATAAAAAGAACACAAAAATAATAAATAATGAGATGAGATAATAAAAAAGAATGTAATGAAATTTCATTTAAAAAAGAAAAAATATAAATAAAAAATGGCGTTACTTAATAGCTCCGTCTCCCGCTAATTACAGTTGCGGAGATCCCCTTTTTGCAGATGCCAAAGGCAAAAGCCCAGAGTTCCTTTCTCTCTCCTCCGATACTGCTCTACAATGGCGAACGAAACCCCTTCCTCTCCGCCGTCGCCGCCTCTCGCCGACAGCTCCGACGCCGAGCGCCGCCTGCGCGAGGCTGAGGATCGCCTTCGGGAGGCCATGGAGGAGCTGCAGCGCCGCCAGCGCCGCGCCGCTGCTTGCGGTCCCCCGCACCACCCGCCGTGTCACCACGCCGGCGACGAGTCGTGCGTCGCCAACGCCATTGGTAATCTCTGCCAGAGCTTCCTTCTCTCCTACGGCGTCCGCGTCGGCATCGGCATCCTCCTCCGCGCCTTCAAGCTCGCCCGCCGCCAGTCCTATTCTTCGCTCCTCGATCTTAAGGTACCGGTGCTGGTTCTGTGGATAATTCTTGTTTTCTTTTATGGCATTTCTTGTATTTGGTTTTTGCGGTGGTGGTTTTGACTTTGGGAGTGATCGGCGATGAAAAAGAGGAGAACTTTAGGGTTTGGAGGAGAAGAAGTTCTGTGATCGTGTGGATCAGGGTTGGGAAGTGTCAGTTGTGTGATCTTCTTCACATTTCAGGATGGAATTATTGCTATGGTGCTCAAATTGGCGCGTAATTCTGAAAATAAGTGTTCTTTAAATTTTTGGATTGCAAAGAATGCCAACGAAAAAGTAGGCAATTATTTGATCTTCTTTAATTCGAAAATTCAATCATCGTTTATTTTCATTAGTGATCAGTTAGCATTAGCTAAATCACGTTACCCTTAGATCGAACTGTTTATATTTGGATGCATAAGCAGATATCTTAGTGGCCAGTAAATTAAGAATTTCTGTTTTTTTTCTGCAGCAACTTGTCTCCGAAAAGGACCTTATTGTAAGAGAAGAAGCATGCCGTATTGGCTTATTTTTTGGTGGTTTCACGGGCTCTTACCACGCCCTTAGATGCTTGTTGAGAAAGTTGAGGAAGAAAGAGACACCACTAAATTCGTAAGATGTTGTATCCCTACATAGTGTGTGTAATTTCTTCCCGACTTTTGGTTCAGTACCGCGTTTCCTGTTTGATTCTGGTTTGTGATTTATTTATCTTTTTAAGCTTCTTCCATATTTATGACATTTCAAGTCGATGATGGTGCAGAATTTTAGCTGGTTCAGTTGCTGCTTTGTCTATTTTAGCTTTAGATGATTCAAATCGGAGGCGCACGCTTGCGCTATATCTTTTAGCCAGGGTAGCACAGGTATCTAAATTAGTTTCGTATCTCTTCGCGAATTCTTCTAAGCTGTTGGTCTAATGATTTTCCTCTTCTTCATTAGTGTGCTTATAATTCTGCAAAGTCCAAGAACAAGTTCCACCTTTGGGGAAGTCATTGGAGCCATGGGGACTCTCTGCTCTTTGCCTTTGCATGCGCGCAGGTAATAACAATCTTATTTTGATATGTAAAGCTTGCAACTTTTCCTCTAATCTTGCTGACGTGATTTTCATCAAATACATGGAACTATATTCATTCATGAACAAAAAATTTTTGATGGTCCGTGCGCTAGTATTGCTGATCAATAGTCCAATTTGCCATCATTTGTTGTGTGTCTCATTTTACGAAATTATGATTGTCTTCAGGTTATGTATGCCTTTGTTATGCGTCCTGAGACCCTGCCAAAAGCATATCAAGATTTCATTCAGAAGACTGGGCCAGTTGCACAGCCCGTGTACAAGGCTGTGAGGGATTGTTGCAGAGGCTTTCCGGTGGATTTTGCGTCTCTCTCTGCCTTTTTGTCTGATAAAAAGAACTCCAACCATGCAAAGTTGGAAGAGTTTCCCTCAATCATCCCTTGTTCTGTTATTCACCCTGACACAAGTTCTTGTTTAGCTCATAATGCAAATGCAACATCGGCTACATTCCGGAAAACGTTTCCTCTTTATTTCTCTTTGACGTTTGTACCATTTGTTGTTCTTCACCTCCAGAAGGTAGATTCCTTCCTCATATCAGTTCATATGGCATTTAATTCCTCCCCTCCCCCCTCCCCTCAACGCATCTGTTTCCAAAGACAAAATAAATAAGACATGCGAACTGTTATTGACATATCACAGTTGTAATGCTAGAACTTAGTGTCAGCAAACTTTAAAGAAACATAATTTTACCAAAGTGAGTAAACATTTTTGCTTGTTTTGCTTCCTGATTATTAGCCTGGAAATGTTCTGAAACCAAGAATATATATTTTTCTCTCTCTTTCC